ACAAGTAAAACGTCTCTCCTGCCGTACTCACAGACGTTTTAAACACGATCACAAAATCCCCTTCCGAGTAATACCGTACCTCGTGGGAAAGTACATTGCCGTTTGTGTCGGTTACCTGGAAACTTCCGTTGGAGTGCGATGGCTCAATCGATCCATGTACGGGCACCCAGAACTTATTCAGATCTTCGGTAACGGCACCATCAGGAATCGTCATCTCACGACGATATAGGAATCCATTTGGCCAGGGATTGCCAAGCAGAACCGCACCAGCAGAGCCGCCGCCTTTTGCACCGCCAGAGGTTACGTGCGTTTTGACGATATGAGGTTGGACCGATCCGCCGCCCTTGCCGCCTCCCGAAGGCGTGTAAGTCGATCTGATGATAGGCTGGATATTTCCGCCACCGCCCTTTGCGCCTCCTGAAGGTGTATAAGTGGCGACGTATGTGTACCATACCCGAAGTGCCGCTGATTCCTCGGTGAACGACGTATAAGATTCGATCGTCGTTCCATCCGTGCCAGCCTCATCGCCGTAGTTTAGGAATAACTCGACTGCACGGCCCGACTCCCAGTTCTCTTGGTCGATGAAATCTTGAACCATACAAGCAATGTTTGGCGACGTGATTGTTGTTGGCGAAGAAGTTGAATCAAGCTTGGTAATCTTCCACGGAACAGCCCATTGTCCACGCTCAGAATCCCACCATGTTTGATCGCTACTGCATGTTGAATCGGATGGAGCCGAAGCGATAGAAGTACAAGCAGAATCAATGAAAGTCTGAATGTCACCAGCAGGGCCACCTTGATAGAGATTTTCGATCTCGATCAATGCCTTGTTAATTATTGCGCCCTGAGGAATCGTGATGCCTCCAAAGGTCAACTTAGAATCGTAGATCCAATCAACAATCGAATCTGTCTGGCCAAGGTAGAGCCTTGTGTAATTGCAATAAGGAAGGTAGGCCCCACCATCACATTCAACTGGGTCTTCGCCTATAGGTTGGGTGCTGTGTTCATTCGCCGAGAAGCTGAAGGCATCACGAGCTTCACCAGCCACTTCAAAATCACACTGAAACTTGATGTAGCCATTGCCTAAATCAGTTCTTGTTCTTTGGCCACTGATAGATGTTTGATCAACACCGAGAACCGCAGCCAGTGAATACTTCCAATAGGCTGTTGTTGCGCCTGGATTGTTGAAAGGCCAATCAGGGTGTAACGCAGCCGAAGCATTGGGGCCAGAAATGCCGATCCATCCACCATCGGCAGGCGCTGAACTTTCTGGATAGTCGGCGTAGGCTTCTTCCACGATGGCCACAACCCTTCCAGCGAAGTTGGTTGAATCGTGGCAACGATAAGCCCACGAGTCAGCCGATACATCAAAAGTAACTTCGCTTCCTGTCTCCGTGCCATCATCATTGCAAACGTGGAAGTCGCCTAGTGTCGTCGAGTCATTGCAAGTCGTAGAAGGTTCGGAGAGACATTCGCCTCTTGCTTCCTGCCAGCTTGTACAGTCATAGTCATAGCTGTACCCGTACTCATAGCCACCGGAGCCATCTTGTGCAGTGACGGTGCCGTAATATGAAAAAAGCCAAGCGGCAATCATCGGGCCGTCTTCGGGTTTTGAATCTGGCCAATACTTTTGGATCAGATCGTTGATACTCTCAGACAAACTGCTCCTTAGGTTGAGTCTCCGCTCCAGAACTCGAACGATGGCGTAAAGGCGAATTGGTTACCGTTTTGCAATGTTTGAACTTCGTCAAACTTTTCAAGCCATATAAGTTGGCTCGCTGTGCCGTCGTCTGTTTGCACAAAATATCCGTAGCAGTTTTGTGTTGTTCCCGTGTGATCCCAAGAAACCTGGGTATTGTAGTCGCTCTGTGCGTGGCCTTCGCCATTCGTGGTCGGCGCTTGCCAATTGGTTGCATCGAGATTTCGGCTGCTGTATCCCAAAAAGTCATTTTCTACGATGTTTGTACTATCGAATGTTATGGTGTCGG